GGGGGGGGGGGGGGCTTGTAAACCCCCCTATGTGATAGCAATCAAAGTTAAAAAAAATACGTTTTTAAAATTAAATAAAATAAATCTAAAAATACAAAAAAAAAAAATGTTTAAAGTCCCCCGCCCCCGTGTCACCACATGAACTCGCGTTGGGTGCGCCTACGTATGAAAACGACGAACGCGCTACATATGTTGAGTATCGCCGCGCACTCCGGTGTGAGAGCAATAACTCTAGGGCCAGTATTTTTGGGTCTCTCTAAATTGATGACCTGTGGGGGCTTTTAAAGCGTCGTCTATGGACTTTTTGAGGTACTGAAGTTTGTCACCATTTCACACAATTTTTAACCTGGGCGTGTTGGGTATCTATTTACCCGTTGTAACCTCATTTATTATATTTTACTTTAAAAATGGGTATTTTATTGTGTTCTGGGGCATTTAAGTACATTTTACACTAAATTTGGGGGTTTGATAAGGAGCTGCGCTAATATCCTGCAACATAAAAAATTGCAACTGCCAACATTTTATTCTATAGGGTCTCGGTGTTCAGAAAATATATCATGTTTGGGGGGTTTTAAGTAATTTTCAGGCCTAAAATGTGGAATATAACATGGGTGCAAAAAATGAAAAAAAAAAAAAAGGCCTCAGTCATGAAGGGGTAATACAAGTCTATGGGGATGCAAAAGCAGCCGTACTATCAAACTCCGGTCTACTGCACCCTGCAATAAATTCTGAATGATCTCAAAAGCATCTCAAACGAATGTCAAAAGCACGTTGTGTCTACCCATCGAATCCCAATGACAGGGGCTCTTAATCTGATTCCAATCATTTTTTTTTTTATTTTACAAGTAGTGAACGGGTGGAATAGGGGTTGTTATCTGAACACAGAAAGGCTTTACATTATTTTTAATGAACTGAAAACACAATTTACATTATGTTTTGTAAATGGCTGCCTTGGGTTCGGCTTTAAAACATACAGGTGAGACCATTATGATGGAGCAAAATCAAGATCTGTTTTATTTTGAAAATATGGAAGCCTATGTCTTTAAAAGTCACAATCTGCCCGCAGTCCTCCATGACTAATCTCTCGGCGGATATGTGGCACCCGGATACAAGGCAGCATATGACATTGTGACATGTGTGGTGCCATCAAGCACTGAACTGACCTTGAGGACGGGAGGGGAATTCGTCAATATATGCAGAGAAAATCCATATAAAAAAGCAACTAATATAGCCAGATCTATTCCGGTGAACGCACAGTATAAATCAATATATACAGATAACGCGCCGCGCATACAGAAGAGCCGGAAGGGACTTTCCAATGCAACAAAGCGAGAAACTTTTCTTTTACGGTCTCTCTGCCTTTGTAGTAAGTTATATGCATTACAATGAGACCTAAAGGCCAACCTTTAAATAAAAAATGAGGCTTCTTCGCAAAAGCTGCTGAGATGTTCTGTTGTCTGAAAGCGCCGTTGCAGAAAGACACTGCTGCGTAAAGGGAACCTGTCACGATGGGCAGAAAGCAATGGAAGCTACTACTGGATAACACTGGAAGTGGTGCTAGTTCCTCCTCTGCAGCATCATGCACTGAGGCACCCCTGTCCTGAAACAAGTACACCTGCGGAAAACTGGAAAATGGAGGGCTCTATCGCTGAATGGGACCGGTATTAGCTGTGCTCATAGGTTCCTTCTAATAATGAGATGCCTATTTTATTTGTTTAATAATCTCACTGTGCGTATCTAAAGCCAAGTCTGAGGACTACAGAACAACTCTTCTCTTATATTGTGGAGAAAAGAAGAGGGCCCAGTCCTGGGGTGACAATGCTGTTTCCTCAATAGATACGGGCAGGATCACCAGGTGAATAAATAAAGGGGGGGGGGGACTTGAAAAAGGAAACGAATGAAGTCGACACATCAGACCTCCTGTTCTGCAATCAATAAGCTTCAAGCTTGGACAGCTTTAGTTCTAACTTAGTAGGGGATGTTTGTTTTGGAACTTTGCAGAGAGACCACTGCTTCTACCCAAAGAGCAAGGGTCCTTCTCTGTAGAATGTTGGCAGGGAACAGGTGTATCCAGGGGTGACCCTAGCCACTTTGCCGCTTGCTGTCGGGGGAGGAGGGAGGGGTTGGGGGTTGATTCTGATGGTGCATGCAAACCCTGGGGAAGAGGGGGGATGCTGGTAGCGCATCCCCTCCTCCCCAGCTCTTAGCAACTTGGGATACTCTGGCTCTGACGTCACTGGTTGCCAGGAGCTGGGTGGGATGTCGGCCAGAGCATCCCAGGTTGCTAAGAGCTTGGCGGGAAGATTTGTATGGCCCTTACACATCTCCCCTCCCAGATCTTAGCAACCTATGACGCGCTGGCTGGAAAGGGGGCGGCAGCTGCTCTGCGAACATTGTGCAGCAGAGCGGCCATGCTGCCTTGCCTGCCTCCCACCACGTGTCTGTCTCATTAAAAGGGACAGTCCTGGGTTTTTCTACTCAGACTGTGGCTGCTGAACTGTAAGGGTGCATCCAGACCTATCCAGTCTATCACAGGGGGTTATAACTTGTGTTGCAATAAGGCGTTCATTTGAATGGGCTGCAATTGCACTGCAAATTGGACTCACGCTATTTTTTCTTATGCAGCGCACCACAATGCACGGTAATCCATAGGAGTGCCATACATACAATGCTGCAATCTGAATGGTTCCTAAGAGCAGGTAAGAGGCAGGCAGTGACTTGGCATTTGCAGTAAACACTGAAAAACATTGTCATTCTCCACATATGACACAGTCATATACCCTGTTTCCCTGAAAATAAGACCTACCCAGAATATAAGACCTAGTACTATTTTTGGGAATTGCTAAAATATAAGACCTACCCCGAAAATAAGACCTAGTTGTGACCATTCCCAGGGCCGGTGGTGGTATAAGGGGAACTTGAAGAGCCGCGGGAGAGAATCAGTGGTGCCAACAAAGCCAGCGCTAGAGGAAGCGAGGCGGCAGAGCCGCATAAGCCGATGCCTCCTCTATAGCGCCGGCTCCTGTCACAGGCGGAGTGATACCAAATGCACTCCGCCTGTGAGGAATCTATAGTGAAAGCGCGCTTTGCTCATTCTGGTTACCAAATTGCTCTTGGAAAGGTACGGCACCCCTGATTGCCCTGATCACCCTATTCTTAACTTTGCTATTTTGGATTATTTCATTTGGATTTGCATTAACTTTGGATTGTTATACATTAAAAAAAAAAAAAATAAGACCTACCCCGAAAATAATGTGTTTATTTGAGGCAAAAAAATATATAAGACAGTGTCTTATTTTCGGGGTAGATGGATCACAGCAGTGCATGCACTATGTTGTAATCTTACTGCAGGTAAAGCAACCCTTATGTATGTGTTCCAATGTGTATTCACCTTTTTTGGCTGGAGTTGCAGTTTCACGTGCCCACTCTCCAGCAGACAGTACTTTATGTACAATCACTGGCTCTGTTTATCTACACAAAACCGTTTAACAAAGACTGCAGGCTTTCCTTCCTTGGGAAATTGAAAGCAG